ACATCACACTGAACAGGTTTAAAGAACTATTTTATTTTACTTTTTTTCCCTTTGACATTTTCAGCTGCAGATCTGACATTTTGCTTAGCCCAGAGAAGAGACCACAATGGATGACGTCAGGGGCAACGTTGAAGGAAAGACGCTCCGAGAAAACTGTCCAAATGGCATCTGGAGACATTACGCAGACAAGAACCAAGCCGTGCGCCTCTCCGTCCACTCTCACGCTAATTACGATCATTTCCACTCCAAGAATAGCGCTACCCCTGCCCTGAACAATGCGCACCCAGGCCGGCACCCACTGCAGAGGAGCCGTGACACAGTGACACACTTACCCCCCCCCCCACCCCCCCACCCCCCCCACCCCGCGATCCACCAGAACACCGCGCACAACACCCACACGGAACAGAACCCAGCCCAACCGCCAACCCGGGGAAAGGCGCACAACACCCCGGCGCGCAGTGCGTCTCCTCCGGGCGAAAGGCTCTTTGTCAAACACGCTGACGTTCCACCGCGGCCCGCACACGCACAACCGGACATTAGAGAAGGCAGAGTGGAAGTGGGAACCGGGCCTGAGCCGGTTCTGGAGCCCGCTCTGAAGTCCCTTTGCAGCGGTTGGACCCCCTCGTGAGTTGGTACTAGGACCCCACCCATCCATCGGACCTACCTGCTCCGCCGTTCGCTCTCTGGAATAGCCACCGCACGCTGGCGCACACTTTGGCCCGATTCGGCTCGTAGCGGTCCAGAGAGGTGATGTCCAGCCCCGGGGGTAGGCCGGAGCCGGGAGCGGGAGTCTCCACCATGGTAGCCGGAGCTCAGGCACAGCAGCACGGACCCAGCCACTCCACGCCCCCGGGAAGAGAAACGGGACAGAGGAGAGCAGCAGAAGAGAGCAGGAGGAAGAGGAGGCGTGATGGAGGATGGAGAGCGCATGCGCACAGTGGTAGAGCAGGTTGTGGATGCTGAGGCGGAGGGATACTGTGCAGAGGTCATCAGTAGTGGCCCTGCGCTCAACCACGGGCTCATAGAGTAGTACTGCAGTACTATAGTACTGTATACAGGCTCAGAGAGTACTGTAGTACTGTATACAGGCCCATAGAGTAGTACTGTAGTACTGTATACAGGCCCATAGAGTAGTACTGTAGTACTGTATACAGGCCCATAGAGTAGTACTGTAGTACTGTATACAGGCCCATAGAGTAGTACTGTAGTACTGTATACAGGCTCATAGAGTAGTACTGTAGTACTGTATACAGGCTCATAGAGTAGTACTGTAGTACTGTATACAGGCTCATAGAGTAGTACTGTAGTACTGTATACAGGCTCATAGAGTAGTACTGTAGTACTGTATACAGGCTCATAGAGTAGTACTGTAGTACTGTATACAGGCTCATAGAGTAGTACTGTAGTACTATATACAGGCTCATAGAGTAGTACTTTACTGGCTACTGAACAAAATGGTTTTATTTTCACCTTGGCTACGGGTCTGGAGTGAGTGAAGAATGATCTGTAAAGTATCTTTGTGACATATGTCTGTGAAATACTTCCCTCACGTAGATGTTTGGAGTTCCAGGGTTTAGTCGGTCGTCTCCAAACACTTTACACGTGAGTAGAGCCTAGAGTGAAAAAGAATCACTGCAGAGCACACAGAGGCTGAGACGGTTTGCGTCTCTTCTCTTTTATTGGTTAATAAGAGCAGGTCTGTTGTTGTCACGGGCCTATATGAGGCTACTTGCCTTTCCAGGGACCTGACCTGTAACCAGCTGAACTAGCTACAACACGCAGCAGCAAGCGGACTCTTTCTTTGCACTGAAAATTGAAACTGAAAAACGTTTGTCTAGCTCTTGGAAATAAAGTACGTTTTCATAATAAGCAGAAGTGACCTGTCCAGGAGTAATTTGGCGACCAGTGCGTCAGTCTTTAGACCCTGCGTCTGCTTCAGTTGCGCCATCGCTAGAATGAATCTTCAAGAATCACCTTAGTTTGGCTTCACTGCTTTTCCCCTTGTCTTCTTCTTTCAGCAATCTCAAAAACGGACTTTCTTTTGCGGCGAACTGCTCCTGGATTCTTGTTTGCCATTGCAACAAACTTCGTGCGAACTGCGAGGAAGATATAGGTCAAAAAAAGCCACTACGAACTGTTGCGTTGGTGGAGTAAACAGCGTCTGTGCGGCTTGCGTCTGTGGACTGCGTGACAGACGTACGTAAACCACGTACCGGCAGCGCGCAGGCAAGTCAATTACGCTAGAAACGTAGGGAGATTGATTGACAGCCTGTCAGCTCACAGATAACGAGGCAGTGTCGTTATCTATTGGCAAATGTTTAGTCCCACCACGTCCAGAGTTGATGAATTTTTATTCTCTTTTTTTTGGTCATCATAATTACAAGGCTACTGCACCTCTATAATGCTATCATTGACAATTTGAAACAAAAAAAAAATCCTCCATACAACCTTTAAGTGAGGACTTGTTTTACGCACAGCTCTGCTGGTTCTACAGCAGCACACAGAGTGTCCACGCGGGGGCGCCAGAACCCAACAGAACCTGAAGAACCTCTTCCACAGCAGCTGCAGGGGCCATACGGGGCCCGATTCTGGGAATAAAAGAAGTTTTCTTAAAACACACGTGTTTTTTCTTGCTGTTTCTTTGAGCAGCTCCGCCCTGTTCTAAGTAAATGTCTCCTGTATGAGCCCAGTACTAAAGTAACTGAAGTATCTGCAGTACTGTACCCAGAGCCACACTGGAGGTCACGTGTCAATCAGGGGCCTAAATAAATACTTTTTGTATCCGTAGACTATGTAGCCCGTTGAATACTGAGCCTGCAGGTCTGTAGTTTGATTCCTCTTAGTTCTCTGTCCTCTTGGGTCATTGCTGCAGAAGAGCACACAGGGCACCTGGCAGAATGCACCTGGCAGAATGCACCTGGCAGAGTGCACGTCACAGAGTGCACCTGACAAAGAGCACCTGACAGAATGCGGCAGGACCAGTTTGTCGGGTCGACTCCCGGAGCACAGGTCTGTGTGTGTGTGTGTGTGTGTGTGTGTGTGTGTGTGTGTGTCTGTAAGTGCGCTGCTCAGAGGACCCTCAGCAGTCGGACCGTTCCGGTGAGTCCTGCGCTACTTTTAGTTATATTTGATTTTGTGTGTTGTGTCTTTGGGCGAGACACTTAACCCCCCTGTGTGTGTGTACACTGCTGTGGATGGATGAGTGCGTGCGTCCTTGATGTAAAGCACTATATAAAAATGTGACCATTTACATATTTTGCGTCACTGTTACGTCCTAGTCTAGTGCCTGTAGTGCTAATAACAGACCACACACTCGAGGAAAATTGGCTACTACACACTACACACTACACACTACACACTACACACTACACAGCATGCGTCAGTTTCCATCAGTGTTGGTCGGATTACAAAATAATGTAATTACTGTTCACTTTATTTCAAAATTTATCTGATTACTGATTACTACTGATTACTTTGAAATGAATACAGCGCAGATATTTTGTGAGAGCATGCCACTAATGCCACTAATGCCACTTCCAGTTTAAATGAACGTGCGCACACTTCTCCTTAAAGCTGTATGTGTTAAGTTTGCGTTCACCACAGATCTGCAGCTGTCACCAAACACAGCACGTTCCTGTTTTACAGTATGGACTACACAAATATTTGGATGGTAAAAGTAACATTTACTTGGGCCAGAAACTGTAATCTAACTACGCATGTTCGTAAAAAAGTAATCTGATTACAGTAATCACCTAGTCAGCACCTAGTGGAGTCTGTTTTCTGCACAGTGTTCCTCATACAGCACAGTGTGTGTCCATGTGAGAGCATGTGCGTGTGTGCATGTGTGTGTGTGTACAGTGACTGAACATGTGGTTGATGTTTTTTTGTAAAGAGCTTTATTGTTTGATCAAAGCACAGATCTGGTAAAAAAAAAATAAAAATAAAACAATACGGTCTTTTCTACAGAACCCTTTTTACATTGTCTAAACTTCTTTTGTACCTCACCTGTGAGGGCCCCTGTGCAGTACCCCCAGCTCCAGGTCCAAGCGCCAGTTCTTTTGGCAGAAGAAAAAGTCCCCTGTGGAGCGAGCGTGGAGCAAACTCTGCAAACTCACCTGGAACAAGTCCAAGAGGAAGTCCAGGAGGACGAGTGTCCCGGGACTGGACAAGCTCAGATGGCCCCTCAGACCACCCACCCAAACCCGCCTCCAGAAAGCTCCCCTCAGACCCCCTTGATACCATAGACTGTCCCTGGGGGCCCTCCGGAAGAGCCCCAGCAGTAGAGGGGACAGTGAAGGGGACACCAAGGGGCCCCAGGAGAGGAGGGGCATCTCTCTGTTTGAAAGAAGAAATCCTAAAAGCCTAAATATGCAGGGTAAAAACTGAATCATTTGATGATTTCAGATCTAGAATTGTCCATCTCTACTCAACACATGGTAAAAGGAGCTGTTAACTTCAAAAACTAAGTTTCATGACATCACAAGTAATATATTGTATACAGAACATTCTGGATACTTCAGTTTGAAATAGTTCATGACTGGATGGAGAATGTAGAATCATGGATTATGTCATTCAGAAACAGTCATGTTGTCTCTGATTGGACGATGGCTTATACAGATGTGATGTGGACCCAAGGCAAGGGTCATTATCATGTTTATCTCCATGGAGACAAACAGTAGGTGCCATCTGGGCAAGTTACTGGTCCGCTCTCTGGAGAGGCAAGCCCGCTCACAGTAAAAATGTATGTTTCTCAAGATATATTTGTTCTTGTAGCTCAAATTTAATAGAATATCAAATGGATCAGTTTAAAGCCTGCAACTGTTTAATGCAAAATGGATGCATTTAATCCCAACCTGTGGAAACCCTACTGGAAATGTTACGTAGTGTGTCTTTGATTTTGAGTTGTTTCATATGATTTGATTTGTATAGTCACTGGCCTGTGAACATGCTGTTTGGGACATTTACTTTGGAATTTTATGATGGAGAACTAAGGTCTAATACAAATAAAGACATTTCACAAGTTCAGTGCTCTTTATAGTGTGATGTGGTACAGCTCACCATCTACTGGCAGCAGAGAGAATTACAATTGGAAAAAATTATTCAACTAGCTGATGACCAACTGTGATGCAGTAATCCCATCAGCCCATGAGGGAAGCCCATGGTATTGATATTCAAGCACAAACACACCGGCGTTTCACTCTGCGGCCGTTTACCGCTGTCCCCGAGTTTTCTTCACATGGCCATCACAACAGTCAGGGGTGCACACTTGATTGCTGCTCAAACATTATTTTCGCCATAACCATTGCTTCATTTCCAAACTTTCCTCCACGTCCGTTGTCCCCTCAGTGCGTGTTTCTCAGCCAACTCGAGCGTCATGCTCTTTCGCATTCTGTTGCGTCACAAGGAGGAGGAGCATGTGTGACATCACAAGTAACATAAGTAACATCATGTGACTTTCTGTTTTTGTAGTGAATATCTATTTTTTTCCTATCTGTGCTTAGAGATTATGATTGGGGTATTTTTGTTTATGGTAATGTTTATGATTTTTTTTTATATTAAAGGGGGGGAAGTATCCATTTCTATTTGTTAATTGACTTGAGGGAGGAGTCTCGTACTATAAAAGGGGCCTCCCATCTTCACAGAGGCAGTGTGTGTGTCAAGGGGAAGAGCTGTGTGCACCGCAGGCATCAACTCCACAACTATTTAAGGGCTGCTACTGGAAATATAGACTGAAAATATATATATTTTTCTTTTTTTTTTCACTATTTGCACACTTCTGTAAATAAAATCACCAACTCTATTTTGACTACACCATATTTCTTTTTCATCAAAAAGAACCCACCGCACCAACAACGACATGTCAATCTAAGCACTCTCTAACTGTTATGAAGACAGGGCTGTATTATAGCGTTTATTTAGTTAGGGTGCAGTACCAAGCCTGACCACTAGGGGCGTTTTGTGAGCGCATGATAAATTTAGTTTTCTCATTATTAGTCTGTGCATGGTGAGGTGTGTTGTTGTTGTTATGTTTCTTTTTGTTGTGGTGTGCGTCCATGAGACAGGTGGGTGTTTTACCATGTTAAATTAGGGTGTTTAATGAGGAAACTGAGTGTTCACAGTTGTTCAATGTTATTTATGCAGTTATAACGCATGTGAGCTTCAATGCTAATTTTTGCTAAGCTGCTCTTCATTTTATGTATGCTTTATCTTATTTAATTCATGTTAGTCAAGTCTTTTGTTTATACGACTCAGGTAGCCTTATGTATATTTGGGGATTGTGTTTGACACAGAATGCCTATGTTTATTGTAGTTCATTAGTAGTAGAGGTTTTGAGGCCTACCTTTTTTCACGTGTCTGCCGAGTACCCATTGGTTAATATATATTTGGATTTATATTTCTATTTGCCTAATATTGTGTATTATTATTGTTATAATATATTATGATGTTATTATTGTTCCTTTTAATCTAGTCTATTTCTAATATTGTGTTTGTTTGTTTACAGAACCACACATATACACACACGCCCTCATACTCATCCCATCCAAAGACAATAAAGAAGTAAAGATCTTCCGCCTCATCCTTGCATTCTGACCGATGCACACTCCGCGATCACAACCCTACTGAACCAAACAGTAGTAGCAAACTTCCATAACACTAACACAACTTGAAAAGATCAGAGCACATACTTTCTAAAACACAGTAAGAATGATAGCTTTAAAAACAAAAGTATGAGGCCACCTGTTAGAAGGTTTTGGTTTTCCATCCTTGTTCAGACATTGAGAGTGAAACTCTGTTGTGTTCATGCTATGCTTTAATCTCATCAGCGTAGACAGTTCAAAAACATGTTAAAACATAAATAAAACACAGTAAAAATCTGACAACTGAGTCGTTTCAAAAGGCAAAGTCATGGCTCCAAAATTCATCAAGAGTTAAAAAATATATTAAATTAAAATAAAACTAATATAACTGGGGATTGGCATTGCAGCTACATTTCTATACAGTAGAGAGGTCCATTTCTCAGCGGTGTGTGTGTGTGTGTGCCTGTGTGTGCCTGTGCCTGTGTGTGTGTGTGCCTGTGTGTGTGTGTGCGCGCCTGCGTGTGTGTGGTAGGGTGGGAGATTGGGTGTGGCATGGTTAGCTCCAGGTGCGGGACGGCTCCGCTCTGTCCTGCTCGGAGGGCTCGGTGAGGGGGGTCCCGTTGTGGCGCTCTTCCTCGTCACTCGCCCACTTATGGTTCTGGACACAGCACACACAGTGAGGAGTCAGGTGACAGGGGACAGGAGCAGGGGACAGGTGACAGGTGACAGGACAAAAACACCGTTAAACTGCAGGCTGGTGGACATGAGCATTTATTGAGTTTCCTTAAATACACACAAACACACAGTTGCAATGTTGAAATGCTGGTATATGAGAGCAGAGGGAGGAGCAGGTGGAGGTGCATTCTGGACACATGACCTTCTAGAGCATTGTTTCCCAAAGACTGGGTCGCAACTGATTTTTTGGGGGGTTGCCTTGTCACGATCTGCCTGTAGGTTTTCAGAATCTCCTGTCCTCAGTGGGGCCAGTGTTTCTCTGTTTATTACTTTCACTTCTACATTTGTGTGAATTGAGATTTTCTATCCTCACAAAAATGAAACCAAAGCACAGAAACAAACTGAACACTGCGTCTGATCTGCTGCTGCGTCTCCTCCTGCACCTGGACTGAACACACCACAAAAACACATACAGACCCACCTATCTCATTAGAAATGTTAAGACATGTTTTGTATCATTTTTAATGTTTTTGTATTTATTTTATTGACTATTTTGTTCCAATATTGCCAGTTCAGTTGAATGTTGAAAAGAAAAACAAATGGGCGAAATGTCCAAATAGGCGACTGATGGATCCTTTTATCAGTGGCGGAGTTAACAGTGTGGGGGCTCTAGGTGAACTTTAGTTTGGGGCCCTCACTATAATGGACTGGTTTATTGTTTTGTTGTTTTGTTTGTATGCTTTTAATATTTATTGTTGGTTTCCCCAATTGTTCTTGAGACACACACATCTCTATTTGAATGAGGATGAATTGGAAACTTGTCTTATTAGTTTGGTCGCCCACCAGATAACTAGAGCGGATAGTATTTTTTTGTTTTTTTTTCTAGTACAATTAAATTTTGTTTACATTTATCACATATGCTATGATTCTGTTCAAATCAAGGACAAGCTGACTAGTCCATTCTAACGTGAAGGGGGGGGTGCTTAGACAGTTCAAATAAATTAGATGCTATTTTGATGGTACTATTTTTTTTAATTATTTTTTTTTAAACGTAACCTACTCTCATTTTACGTCATATTGAGAGAAAATCACCACTAGTGCTACTAGCCATTACTAGCACTGAGGGCAATTGGTTGGGGCCCCCTCCAGGTTTGGGGCCCATAGCCAGCTGCCTACTTTTGTCTAATGTTAGTGCCGCCTCTGCCTTTTGTTCCTGCTTCAATTTCTGTTTTTCATTGTTTAAAACTTGAGTAATACTAATTGTTCAGAGACACGATCACTCAGTCAACAATAAAATATCCTCATAAATGTTCAATAATGCTCAAATCCACCTTTATTTTGTGATTTATGAATACTATCTGCTGACTTGGGAAACACTGTTCTAGAGGGACTGGGGTCTTAGGTCTCACAAACATCTCACCTCCATCAAGTGGGCTCATGAAGACTACACGATAAAGACCTCAGAGCTGACAGTCTAGGGGCCTGATCAGAGCGCTTAACCTGACTAGAACACACCGCTGTAGGTTAATCATGAACATATTATGACTGTTTAGAGTCAGAGCCTTTATGAGCTTCAGGGAGTGTCCCACAGCACAACGCTCGACCAGCACAAAACACGCACATACACAAAGTACACCCCTCCAGAGTGACTGTGTGAGAATAAATCTCAGCAGGAAGTGGGGGCCCATGTGCAGCACACAGAGCATGTGAAAGGTGAGAAGACAACAGACTTCCTCTGTCTGCGACATGTGCAGCGTGCTACCTCCACACCACTGCTGTGCTGAGCTGACAAGAAAACACACAAGTGAACTAAGTCTTACACAAGACTGTACAGAAAAACACTGTCCTCACCCTGCTGCCCTCTATGGACCCAAAAGGTACTGCAGGACTGAAGCACTGCTACAGAGCACAGCTGTAGCACTTTTCATGAGACAAAGTGTCTGTCCTGTGACTGCAGTGGTGCTGTCCACCGGCACAGAGCAGGTTCGACTGAACCTTATGGAGGCTATATCCCAACATTCCCAATGGAATGAGCTGCACTATTAGGCTTATATATTTATATACACGTGGCAGTGGCAGTAATGACATCATCTTCTGTAAAAGCTCTAAATTGTATAATTTAAAACAAATAATCAAATAATTTATCTAAAAATCTACAGTTTGGACCAGACTTCTAAAACAAGAAGTCACTTCTGCCTCAGAGCCACGCTATGGGAATGTCAGGGGCATTTTTCAAATAAAATGATATCAGAGCAGAACCTTGAGAGGTGAGGGCATCAGGTGCAGCATACAGAGGTCCATGTGAGGAAAAGAGGGCTCAGGAGGTGCCCAGAGAGAGAGAGGAGGAGCAGGGTCTGGTGTGGAGAAGATCAGACCCTCTCACTTGGCCATGTTTAAAGTCTTCAGCGGTCACACAGTCTCCTCCACAGCAGAGCCACAGACAGGTGTACAGGACGTCACCAGAGCAGTGCTACATCAGAAGCACACAGTCTTTAAGCAGTTCAGTGGTGAATATTGACAAGTACTGTCAGTGGGAGGAGACAGTGAGTGGGCCCCACCCTAATATTGGAGGGAGGAGCCAGTAGGTCAGTGTGACCTTGGGAGTGGGAGGGATCAGTAGGTAAGTCCAACATTGGGAGTGGGCGGAGTCAGTAGATAAGTCCTCATGAGTGGGCAGCATCAGTAGGTCTGCCCCATCCCATGAGTGGGCGGAGTCAGTATGTCGCCCCCGTCCTCAAAGTGAGTGGAGTCAGTAGGTCAGCCCCACCTCAGTGGGCAGAGTCAGTGATGGTCCTCGCCATCATGATTGGGCGGAGTTAGAGGTGAGCGTGTAGTTAGTTGGGTCTCCGTTGCTCTCGGACAGTACCTCGTGCTCCTGCGTGTTGAAGTGGACTCCGGAGAGGGTGGGGTCGGCCTTACGCCGCCACAGGCAGCACAGCAGCTCCCTGAAGGTGCGGCGCATGTCTGCGTCCCTGAACGAGTAGATGATGGGGTTCACAAAGGAGTTACACTCGGCCAGCACCAGGCAGTACTTCTCATAGCGCAGCACGTTACAGCGGTCACACCCCAGACCGTCCAGCAGGAGGAGCACCAGCCCCGGAGTCCAACACAGCACAAAGCAGCCTGAGGAAACACACACACACAGTGTAAGGGGGCAGCACACATGTACACATAAATGTGTGCATAGGCACATGCACAGAGTGTGTAAGGGTCACAGGGAGCAGCACACACAGTGTGAGGGGCCACTACTTGTGCCCCCTCACACTGTGTGTGGTCAGTGGGCTGCACAGACATGTGTCTTTGAGCTTGACCCATTCACTTAAATGGTGTGGTATAGAAGGAGAGGGATAAACAGGAGGATTAACCAATCACACAGAAGCATTTTCAAACAACAGGACCAGAACTGGACAGTTTTGGAAATAATGAATAGAGATTTGTGACAGGCACTGCGATTGATTGAATGTGTGCTTTGTGTTTGAGTAAGCTTCAGTTCACAGGACACATTTAAACACACAGATGAACACCAGCGTTAGAGAGACTGAAATCTGAAGTGATCCAAGACTCCAGTGCATTTCAGAACCTGTTTGTAGAGGTCTAAACGACAGGGTTAGCAGCTATTACACAGAATAAGACCCATGGACACACTGGGACATACATTAGCTCTCTGCAAAAGACTTCTAGAAGCACTGCAGAAACAACAGAAACCCTGGCAGACACACACACGTGTCGCACGCAGGTTTCTAAAAGAGCTCCAACTGCTACCTCTGCATTTCCTGTCTCAGATGAGAACGATGTGTGAGAACAGTTTGTGCTAACCTGCAGAGGCACAAATGCAATTACAACTATTATGAGATGTACTGTGCATTATCTTTCCCCTCATTTTAGCCACATTATGACACAAACGACTCTTGTGAGCTTTGAGCCATGATAAAATGTTGTTACCTTGTGAAAAACAGACCTGGAATTGTGTTTTGTTTCATTCACACATGTTTGATTAATCTCTTATTACCACCTTGTGATGTCATGAGGTGGAAGCTTTTAAGTGAACAGCGCCTTTTACCTATAATTCAGTAGAAATGGGTAATTCCACAGTTGAGAGTTTCTGAATGATTCTTGAAAGTGTACAGAGCACTTCCTGTATTGGAAAGTTTTTTCTGTTTGAGAGAAGAACTCTGTCTAAATGTGCCGGGTTTGTGTGTTAAACATGTGTGAATGAAACTAAACATTTTATATAATGACACTTCATCTAAGACAGGGGTCTTAGGGTAAATGTGAGCCTCCCCTTAGAGTAGGTAAAAACAGTTGAGCCCGCCACTTCTCCAAAATATAGTATTTAAATTTTTGTTGTTGTTTGTTTTTAAGTGTATTCATAAACAATTTTTGCAACAGCAAATAATTTCCAACTTCATGCATGTGATGTTGAACATCACTGAACATCAGTAGGCCTATCCAAATCAAAACAACATCCCAAGCATTTGTAATCAGTGCCAAAAGTACCACTGACGACATCGACGATGGCTGAAATTTGCATGTGTCTGGGCCTTTTTTTTTTCCTTGATCGGAGTGGTGACACTTTAGCTTTTTCTTTTTCCATCATTCTGCCATTCCAACACACAAGGTCATTATTAAGTTGTGGTGGCGCTCTTTTCGGGACAATATTTTCATTGACTGGCGGCGTAGAAGGCGAGACACAGTCTGTGCAGCATGGTTTAGACCTGGTTTTAGTCCTCGTTTAGACCTGATTTTGTTCTGGTATAGAGGCGCGGTCCACTCGGCGTAAAGGAGGAGCCACGGCCCGCGCGGCGTACGCGAGGAGCCACGGCCCGCGCGGCGTACACGAGGAGACACGGCCCGCACGGCGTACACGAGGAGACACGGTCTGCGCGGTGAAAATGAGGCAAAAAAGGTGACACTCCAAACTCTAGGTTGGAGTAGGTTGTCATGGTGACATAAATTTACAGCTAATACACGCCCGCACAATTACCAATATCAATACTGCTGCAGATGTGGACACACTTGGACCATTATTTTTTCTTCATGTGTGTGTCGAGCCTCTCTAGTGGCTCTTTGATGCTCCCAGGGGAGGTGGGCCTCACCTATTGAAAACCTCTGACCTAAGAATATGTCCCTGTAACTAGGAACTGGCGATACATCAGTATCAACATTGGCTGATATTGATACTAATTATTTGATATCGATACTGGCTCAAAAAATGATAAATATATCCATATTGGCCCACCCAGTAACCTTTTACTCCCTCAATTTGGTTTGGACGGGAAAAAAGTGTGAACAAAAGCACTATGTCGGGTCTTAGGAGATGGGAGAGGTTTTAGTGGAGGTGGAGGAGAAGGATGGGGGTTTGGGAGAGGTATGGTGGAGGAGCAGGGGGAGCACTGGAGGTGAAGACACAGAGAAGAAGCAGCACATTCCTGGGTACACTCTGGGCGTGGAGATGGTTTGGTGAAGTATGGAGAAGATGGAAGAGGAAATGGGGGAGCACTGAAGGTGTAGACACTGAGCATAAACAGCACATTCCTGGGTACACCCTGGGGGTGAAGTTGGGGGAGGTGGAGAAGATGGGTGAAGTTTGTGGGATTGGGGGGGTAGCAGCAGGGCGTTGGAGGTGAAGACACTGGGCAGAAGCAGCACATGGGATGGGATGGTGAGGTTTAGGGGAAGGTAGAAGATTGGATAAGTTTTGAGCGAGGTTGGGGTGAGGTAGGAGATGGGTGAGGTGGAGGAACAGGGGGAGCTCTGGAGGTGAAGTCACTGAAAAAAACATTCCTGGGTACACTCTGGGGAGAAGATGGATGAGGTTTGGGGAAGAGGGTGTAGCAAATGGGTGGGGCAGTAGATTGGGTGGAGGCACTGAGCAGAAGCAGCTCCTGGTTACACTCTGGGTGTGGAGATGGCTGAGATGATGGGTGAAGTTTTGGGGAGGTCTGGGTCGAGATGGGTGAGGTGGGAGGAGCAGGGGGAGCTGTAGACGCTGAAGAGAAGCAGAACATTCCTGGGTACACTCTGGGGAGGAGGTGAGGGAGATGAATGAGGAGCAGGGGGAGGTGGAGGAGACGGGTGGGGTTTCGGGGGAGGTGGGTGGTGGAGGAGCAGGGGAGTGCTGGAGCTGTAGACACTGAGCAGGAGAAGCACATTCCTGGGTACACTCGGGTCCCGCTCGGGGGTTTAGTCTGGAGGATCCCGTTTCATCACTGGATCTTCACTCCAGGAATTCTCCAGCAAACATCCAGCACTGTCCAGAGAGCCTCCACCCTGACCCTCGCTCTGCACCACTCCACCCTCTTAACCCTTAAAGGTCCTATATTAAACAAATTGACTCTTTTGAGCTTTAAGTCAGAAACAGACCTGGAGTTGTGTTGTTTCATTCACACATGTTTAAGTAATTCTTAATTATGCATCTGTTTAAAAACACTTCCTGTATCACCACATGACATCACAAGTTGGAACAGAGTGTTTTCCGTTTAAGATAAGAACTCAGCCTAAATATGCAGGGTGTGTGTGTCAAACATGTGTGAATGAAACAAAACACAACTCCAGATCTGTTTGTGCTGAGCAAACAGAATTATAACATAGATCAGAAAATAGCGTAATACACACATGTGCACACGTGCACACACACACACACACAGGGTGGGGGCAGGCCTGTCACAATATTGACTCATCATGTGATATGTGAAACATGAGCAATAATGGGCTTGTGAGCGCATTAGTGGCTTTTGTGCGTTTGTGTACCAGGGCGAGGGGAGGAACATCTGATACTCAGAGTTTAGTGTTGCCATAATGAGATTTTTGAAATGTTTTAGTCAAATATACTTTTGATACAAACTGGCCAAGATGTGCCTGTTTTAGAAGAAGCTGCAGCTGATTTATACAATGTTAAAATGTGAAACAACAGAACTAGTTAATTTAAACAGTTTGCAGGGATCCAAAGTTACAAAAGCAGAACGCCGCAACATCATGTTCGGTCAAAAATGAGTTCATGTCCTTTTGTTTGTATTTGCGAGCTCCTTTATCATGTGAATTAATATAATGAAAAATATTGACCTTATTTGTCTCTGCCTTTGTATAATAAGCCAAAAATGTGAGTTGTGCAAAGGCTAAAGGCAGAAACAGTGTGTGTTTTGTTTGTGATTTAATTCATAAATATATATACATTTATATTTTTCATGTATTTTTATACAATATATTTTTATTTTAAAATCCAACCTCTCACCTCCTTTTTGTCTTGCAGCCTTGGCACAGGGTTTTAACACATTCAGTAAATAAACCTTTGTATTCAATGATACTTCAATCTGAAAGTATTGTGTGTATTTCTTCATACTGTACACACTGTACTGCAAAGTCACTTGTGTTAAACTGTTTCACTCTGTAAGTGTCACGATCCTGATCAGCACTAAACAGGAAATCCAAAGCTCTTCTACATCAGTTCACACAAACACATGATGATTCAACCTTGGTGAGGTGTTTTTCTTATAATGGATGGAAGTCTGGAGAAAATCTAATAATCATCATGTCAGTTTCTGTCTTTGGCCTTTGCATGACTCCTTATTTTTGAATCATCATACAAAGGCAAAGAACAGGAAATGACAAATAAGGTCAAATGTCCATTTTGAGATCAATATTTTTCACATACAAATATTTCTTCATTACAGTAACTAGCTGTCAGATTTTGAAAGCCCTGCCTATTCTACTTTTGTCTGGACAAATCAGAAACTCAAGTCATTTTTCTGTTTCACACTGTGGAGAGTTAGTTTGTAGGGCAGTATTCCTCACTTACCTGATGCATTCTACATTCTTATTCAACACGATGAGTTTATAAATGCTTTTCACTCTTCTCAGGGTTTTGTTAACTTTTGTTGAGCTTGGTAGCACACACTTCTTGATTGTTGGACAATAACACAGTTTACAATTGGCCAGTACTTATTTTAACCTCAAGAGCTGCTTTTACAATATATCTGTATTGGGGACCCATTTTGCAAATATATGAGAAAAAAATCAGGTACAGACTCTTGTGATCTTTAAGCCATGTTATAAAGATGTTGGCTCCTCAAAAAACAGAGCTGGAGTTGTGTTTTGTTTCATTCACATGTTTGAGTAACTCTTTATCATTAGTCTGTCTACATCTCCAAAGCTCAGAATACTCTGTTCCCTCTTGTGATGTCAGGAAGTGGTAGTTTTCAAGTGAACTCAAGTTCCTTTTCCTTTTAGTTCAGTAGAGATTGGCAATTTTAAGAGCTGAAATTGTTCAACTGATTCTAGTGAAGGTGTATGGACTTTAAAAACACAGCGGAGCACTTCTTGTATCAACATGACGTCATAAGGTGGAGCAGAGTGTTTTCTGTTTGAGAGAAGAACTCAGTAGGATGAGGAAACTACATTGGAACATCTATTGTAATTGAATAAATGCAAGGTAAAAAGGTTTAATGCAATACTGTGGAATATTCCAGGCAAAGCAGTATCATCTCCAGGACGACCCCCCACCGCAGCAGTGGGATTGTGAGCGAGTGCTTTGTTTGTGACGACGGTCCTGTGCGTGTAGTAAAGCGTCAGTGTTTACAGTGTGCGCCGCATATTTGGGCGATGTGGTATGAACCAGAGGAGGAGGCTGCTCTCTGTCACACTCAGCCCAAATATGCAGGCTGTGTCCGGGCACGTGCAGCTGGCCCGCCCCCTCCTCCTGGAGCTCTGCCGTTACACAGCACAAGGAGTACTTTAAAACACGCAGGAATGTAGTGAGCACCGCCACCAGGGAAGAGAAGAGCGGGAGACGGAGAGAGAGGACAGAAAGGACGGGAGAGAGGGAAGGAAGGACTGGGGAAGGACGGGGACAGAGCGACAGATGCCAAGTGGGACAAGGAAGAGTGTAGAGGGAGAAAAGAGTGACCGGACAAGAGATAGAAGAGAGAGATAGGAGAGGATAGATAGAGAGGGTAGACAGAGAGATAAAGAGTGAAGAAAAGAGAGTAGAGAGAGTGAGAAAGAGCGAGAGAGAGAAGAGAGAGGGGTAGAGAAGGTAGAGAGAAAGAGAGAAGGAGAGAGACAGAGAGAGAAGTAACAGAGGAGAGAGAAGACTGATGAGGAGGAGAAAGAGAGAAAGACAGTGAGGGTTTGCAAATTGAGAGAAAGGGAAAGGGAGGGCTGAAAGAGACAGGAGGGCAGAGAGGGGGAAGAAGCAGAAGAAGAAAAAAGGAGGAAAAAGAGAAGATGACAATGGAGGAGGATAAGAAGACAAGAGAGAAAGAAAGAGAGAGAGGAAGGAAGTATGTAGAAGAGAGAAAGAGAAGCAGAGAAATAGAGAAGAGTGGGTGGAGTGTGATAGAGGAGAACAGATAAAAAGGGAAAGGAGAGGAAAGAGTGAGGAGGAGAGGAGGGAGGACAGGCCAGGACAGGCCAGAGCAGGGCAGGGTTTCTGTGAACACACACTTTGAAGAATAGGCCAACGGCTGCACACACACACATGTGCACATACATGCATGCACACACGCGCACTCACACACACGTGCATATGCATACACACGTGTGTGCACAGGCCTGCCGCTGCAGGATTGGCTGAGAGACACAGGTAGTGTGCTGGGATTGGCTGACAGGGACAGACAGGTGACGGTTCATTTACAGTTGGAAAAAAAGTACTACTGTGACTCTGTGTAACACTGCACTCTGGTGTATCATTACTGACTCTGTATGCCCTTTGGTGTACTTCATGCTAAGTACTTTGTATGACTATCACTTGGTATTTGGTGTACTACTGTGTGGTACTACTCTTTTTTTTTTTTTTTTTTTTTTTTTTTTTTAAATGGGAAAATTTGTGGGGGCCGTTTTTTGGTCCCTGTCCACCCGTGACTGCGGGTGACACTACTGCGGTACTTGGCCCCTCCTACAGTATCACGTTGACTCACCCAGGATCATGGACACGGTCTTCATGAGGTTGAGGACGGTCTCGCGGTGGCGCAGGTGGGACGTGTGCTGGGACATCTGGCGGCTCTTGTGGCGCACATAGAGGAAGATGCGCGTGTAGACGGCCAGCATGATGGAGAAGGTGAGCAGGTTGAGGACAGCCCAGAAGACCAGGTAGCTGCGGCTGTAGAGCGGGGCCATGGTGGAGCAGGCGGGCAGGTCGCACAGGCAGTGCCAGCCCATGGTGGGCACCAGTCCCATGAGGATGGCCAGCACCCAGATGATTACGATGATGATGAGCACGCGCCGGCTGCTCATCTCACTGTGAAGCTGCATGCTGAAGATGGTCTGGTGTCTCTCCACAGCCACGGCCAGAAGGTTGAGCACGGAGGCCGTCAGGCTGGTGTCTATCAGGCCCTGGCGTACAAACCACTGATACTTGGTCAGCTTTATGGTCCAGGGTCCAGTGTGGAACATCAGGTGGAGGTAGGACACCCCTGTGGGACAGACACAGGCTCAAACAGGCCCCCAAACAAGCCTACTCTCAGGAGTCATTCATTCACTGAACAATCAGATCAGTCAATACTAAATCTAGTAATATGAAACTAGATGCTCATTTGAACAAGTTCCTACCCACTTTCCTTGAGATCATTTATCAGGACATTTTTAGATATGTGATCACTTCATCTACAAACACCTTTTTATAATAAACATGTAGGACAAAGTCCACAATTATTGCAAATTAATTAGCAGGTAAGATGTAAAGATGTGGGGCGGTGGGCGTTCACTTGATAGAAATTTTGAGCAGAATAGGTGTCATTTGTTGCATTTTGGGGAGTTTAAGTGTAAACACACACACACAGACACACAGACACACACTATCTGCCCATGAACTACTATGAAAACTACCTGGACCACTGAGAGATTACAGATATATGGCCACATGGGAATAGAAAAAGTTCTACCATTTCAAGCTGAAAATCACATTCTATTATCATCACAGTATAGGAATCAGAGTCAAGTATCAAGTCTATTCCTCAGTATCAAAATCCAGTTTGAAATTTTGGTCGAGTCCAGCACAGGCTCAATAAAACAAGCTTTAACAGGGCCCAGTAGAGATATAAACTATGTTCTGTGTTTCACAGTCTGAGTGTTAGGACATTTACAGACTGTAGATCATATGTTACTGTAGAATCATTTCCCTTTAGAAGCGACAACAAGACTGGTCCACAAAACCAGGCTTTTGTGAATGTTTGTCTATTTTTATTGTCATTTTGGCTCCCTAAACCAGGGTCACCCACAAGTGGCTCATTCACTGCAGAAAATGAAAGCTGCTCTGGAACCAAACAAAATCTAAACTTGTCCACATGAGACTGGAGCTGACACAGCCCTAACACAACTGAGACGCTCCAAAAAGTCTGTTTTGTAGAATATTTCCTCTTCAAATCCAAACATCTCTTGGTTTTCTGCACAGACAGAAGTGAACTGAGTGTGTGGCTCTTGGAGGACGCACTGGTGCACTCCAGGTTCAGCTGAGGGGAGACTCTTAGCAACGCTCTTAATCAAACCTGTTGCTAACATTAGTGCAACCTTGAGGAAAGAAGACATTATTGTTCACATCTTACTAGTAATGGTAATAGTAATAGTAATAGTAATATGTAACCCAGATATTTTTGTGTCCTGGCCCTTTCTACCTTATATTTTGGACGCCGTTGTTCTCAACTATCGCAAGACTTACTACGTCAAGCTCTTTAAACATGGCCGCACGTGCTACCATTCAGTTGACTGAGCTGCTGCAGATGCCTCTTGCCTTAACGATGAAGTGCTGTTGTGATCCTATGTGGTTTAACAAAGTGGAACTGGCCAGGTTCCCGAAACTGGACTTTCCAGAAACTGAACTCTCAGACACTGGATGGCGAGTTAAGGCCTAGAGCTCAAACCAAACTACAGTCCCTGACAAAAGTCTTGTCGCTTATCCATTTTCTAGAAACAAAAGCTTATAACCTGACTTTAAATTAATCGATTGGTTTTAGAAATGTCTCATATGAAGCTAAAACCCTCCTGAAGAAAGATTGATCATTTAATGAACACAGAAAGGTCAGATTTTGACAAGACAAAAGTTTTGTCGCCTACAGAAAATTGAACTAATAATTTACTTCAAATACAAAAATATGTAGCACAGCGTCAGTGAATGAAGTAGTGGTGCTGTGAGATCCATATTTAATATCTTGTATGACTTCCATGAGCTTGAAGTGATGATGATTCATACAATTTGTTGATGAAGTCATCAGGAATAGCAAAGAAAGCGTCTTACATGCCTCCCAGAGTTCATCAAGATTCTTTGGTTTTGTCTTCCATGCTTCCTCTTTCATTCTACCCCAGACATGCTCAATGATGTTCATGTCTGGTGACTGGGCTGGTCAGTCCTGGACCACCTTGATCTTCTTCACCTTGAGAAACTTTGATGTAGAGATAGAAGTATGTGATGGAGCACCATCCTGCTGCAAAATTTGACCCTTTTATGGTTGGGAATGTAAGAGGAGCTAATACTTCTTGATATTTTAGGATATTGATATTTGCCTTCCACCCTGCAAATGTCTCGCACACCCCCCAGACTGGATGGAACCCCAGACCAGGATTTTTCCTCCACCAAACTTAACTGTTTTCTGGGTGAATCTTGGATCCATGCGGGTTCCAGTAGGTCTCCTGCAATATTTGCGGCAGCTGTGATGTAATTCAACCGAGGATTCATCTGAGAAATCCACCTTCTGCCACTTTTCCAGTGTCCATCCTTTTAACAGGCTGTGGGCCTTGGCAAATGCCACACGGTTTTTTAATTGCCTTTTGTTTAGTGCTGGTTTCTGTGCACTGATTCGACCATGGAGGCCATTTCCAGACAGAATTCTACAAACTGTTGTGGTTGACACAGGGACTTGAGGTGACCAGGTGTAGTGGGAACATATAAGATGGTCCTGAGATCAATTCACTAGGCCTGCATGCCTGCACGAAGTCAATATTATGCTTATACAACTCGCTATCTTCTAGTGGGGATTGTGCCAAGGACACTGTGTTTACGAAAAACAGGGCACCCTGCCCCATTGCCAGTCTCAAAAGACTGGACATGGGACAGGAATGTGCCTCCATGTATGTGTGCGCGGTGGAGACTGGCCCTCTCTGCACGCACAGGTGCATGAAGAGAATATATAGAGGTGGAGGGAAAGCACCCACTTTAGAGTCTGCTGCAGGTTGCGTACGAACGCCCAGCCGGGTTTAAGCCACTCTGCCGTGGGTTGTTGGCTCTCCAGCCCAGTGTCAACGGTGAGTTTGATTTTCTTTGCTGCTTTGTGAATGCTTAAACCCATTGATTGATTGATATGATTGTAACAGTGTTGAGCAGGGAATAAACGGACACATTTATTCTAGCTTCATTGTGTGATGATTGTAACAATGTTGAGCGGGGAATAAACGGACATATTTATTCTAGCTTCATTGTGTGCTGGCATTGATTGATGTGAAATAGTGATTGCCTGGTTGTGACTACTTCCCACGAACCTTTTAAGATATTTCACAAAACACCAGGCCTGGTGGAGTCTGCTGCAGTGGAAAAGGGGCCTTGGATTTTCGAATCAACAAACGGTCCTCCCAAGCAGTTGTCTTGCGGGGTCTGCCGGACCTGGGCTTGTCAAAAACATCTCCAGTCATTTCAGATCTTTTTCTTATTCTTTGTACTTGACGCTGAGACACATTGAAGGTGTCACCACCTCAGCAGTGGATCTGGTCTTCAGCCTCTTGATAATTAACACTTTGGTCTCAGGGTGGATCTTAGGCATGTTGTCAGAGGTCAAGTTGCAGTTGATGTGAAGGTCTGGTGTGCTGGGCTTCTTTTTATACACACCCACTAATTGATTGATCAGTAACTGATCACAGGTGAGGCTGTAATCTAGGATTCGGTGCATCATATGACCTTTCTGTGTTCATTAAACAGATCAATCTTTCTTCAGTGAAGCAAATTTATTTTAGTATATTGAGCATAATTTGGGAGGGTTTTAGCTTTCATATGAGACATTTCTAAAACCAATCGATTAATTTAAAGTCAGGTTATACGCTTTTGTTTCTACAAAATGGATAAGCGACAAGACTTTTGTCAGGGACTGTAAGAGTGCAAGCATCTGCCGGTGTGGTAGGAGGTGTAGCAGCCGCTCAACCCCACACACACTCTCGCACACCAACTGCCCCCTGCTGTGGGCACAGGGCCCCTCATAGACTTTGCTAGAAAATCACCCACCTTACCATAACCATCTCCGGAACTCTCTTTTCTGCCTTTCACATGACCCTCGTGTGGATTATATTAACTTTTGTTACTGCTCAACTGCACTTGGACTAAGGACTATAACGCATTGAACTCCCCATAAACTCTGAACTTAATCAGATGAATGTGCACATCTGTAAATATTGTAAATACTGTCTGTAGTGCTTAGTTGTGGTATATTATTTACAGTGTACCAACAATCTTGTGGAAGTGTCTTATTAAACACCTCACTTCCCTCCGAGCCGAACCCTGTCTTCTGATCTAGCCTATTGTTATTACTACTACTATACTTTCTATTGCGGCATTGTATAAGTGCTACAAATAGTAATAGTAATAGTAATAGTAATAGTAATAGTAATAGTACAACACTTTTTCAATAAAAGTGAATTGGAGCCAGAGTGGATGGAGCCCATGGTCACTTCCTACTTGGAATGCGTTGATTGCGGGTGCGTTATGTCCATCTATATGCAGTCTACAGATCAGAGTATAAAAATGCGTCTGTGTAATGTGCATTCTGTCACCATGGTAACACTTGGATTAGCTGCTGAACATCTCGTGTGGCAGAAGGTGGAGCAGGTTCTCCAGAGGTTGGGCAGCAGTGTTCTGTGTGTGTGTGGTACCTGAGAAGAGGTCGGACAGTGCCAGGTTGCCCAGCAGGTAGTAGATGGGGAAGTGGAAGCGCCGGTTCTTGAGGATGGCAAGGATGACGAGCAGGTTGGAGAAGATGACGATGAAGCACACGGTCAAGCCCAGGGTAACCACCACGTAGTCCCGCTTCCTCCAGTGGTCACTGATGTTCTTCCCGCTCTCCGTGTAGAAGAACTTGACGCTGCGGTTCAAGTAGCACCCAGGCACGTCATCTTTGTCGATGTCCATGTTTTGGCAGGTGCAGGGAGATGAGGATGAGGACGAAGAGGATTATGAGGAGAAGAGGAAGAGGGTCCCAGTTCTCAGATGGCCCCGGTCTGCTGGAGGGTGCACTGACAGCCCATATCTGCGGAGGGGCGAGCAGGATGTGGAGAGAATCTGAAGAAGCAAACAGGACTGAGCTCAAAACAGAACACACAGCAGAACAGGGCTGGAGAAAACCAAAACCTCATGGCACAATTTATCACAATGGTACTCGTCCGATCAGTTTCATTAGAACTTCTATCATATATTTTCATTTCATTTCCAGTATCCATGGAAACTGTGCAAGAGGAGGCTAGCTAGGGAGTTCACTATGGATGTTTGAGATGCTACAGGATTTTTACATTCTATGTGGCAGCAGAAGACCTTCCAGAGGAAATACTTATAGTTGGTGATGAAATGGTTCATTCCCTCAAACACAAGAGCAGAGTAATATTCAGGGCTGTTCCTCTCCTCAAACTGCCTCACCTGACCTGTCCCCCTGTCCCCACACCTCTGACTGAAACACAAAGGGATTGAGAAAATTACTTTAAATGTTTCTGCAGCAAAACTTGACTTTCCTTCTCTGTCTCTCTGTACAGACGTTTGTTTATTTCATGCAGAGAGCCGGAAACGTGCCCACTAGACTGTAAATTGGGATGAGGGGGTACCAACAGCGCTGAAAAAAATAAATAAATCTGACTCGAGTAGGAATAGTGATGCACAGATACTGGTTTTGAATATCATCATTACAGCCGATATTGTAGTTGGGACTTTAATTGGACATGAGACGAGGCTGATTCACAATGTTTCATTCACATAAAGCTGTTCAAGTAACAGTTACAGAGAACTATTGCATCACTTGTGTAATAAATTCAGAGTTTTAAGGCAATAAGTGCCATTATCCGTCCTCATACGGGCAGACCGGCTCATGTGTTATCATTTAATATCGGGTATTGACAGATACTTAAGGGGAAAGTGTGGAAAATGTGTTTAAATGAGCTGCCACGTCACAGCAGCAGCAGAGGCCAGGCCAGGTCTGAGATAAACACACGTCTGCACACAAGAATTACTACACTAAATAAAGGGACTTAGTGGCATTATATTGCCCTATAAAAAGGTACATTTAATTTTCTGGGTTTTGTCCCTCCACAGATCTGACCTGAAACTTAGACTAGTGGTGTGACTTGTCTCCATGGAGGTAAGTCGATGTGAAGATGTTGTGCTTGCCATCCAGAAGGCCTGATCAAACTATGGACACTGATAAGTTAAATTCCATAGTGTGGAACAGGACGAGTTACAGGTCAGATCTGTGGAGGGGAGACTGTGCTCGCAGAAAGAACACACATTTTGTTTTGTTTTTTCCAGGTATTATGATCCAGTAAACAGTTGCATTCTATTGTCTAGTATCATTATCATTGTGGTGGTTCTGTATCATCTGTCAGCCCTCTCCTTTCAGAACAACTAGGGCAGGAATCCTGGAGTCATTTAGTCCATGAATGGGTCACTGGAGTCTAATTCAACCAAAATGGGGATTGGTCAAGTCATCATTTTGTTTAGATTATAAGGATTTATGTTATCTGAAGATTTTGTATGTTTTATGAGAAAAGGGAGATAAAAGGTAAAGATAAAAGAGCTGTATTACAATGTTGTTAATGTTTCCTCATCAAATACCTTCAGAGCTGGAGTTGTGTTTTGTGTCATTCACATGTTTAACACACAAACCCTGAGGCTGAGTTCTTCTCTCAAACAAAAAACACTCTCTTCCACCTTATGAGGTCATGCAGTAATACAGGAAGTGCTCCACTGTTTTTTAAACTCCATACACCTTCACTAGAATCATTTAGATAATTTCAGCCCTGGGCTTATCAGTCTCTTCTGAACAAAGGTGAAAGGAGGTAAACGTTAACTTGAGAAACTCACTACTACATCACAAGATGGAACTGAGCATTTAGAGCTTTGGAGGTGGAGACAGACTAATAAAAGGGTTCCTCTCACATCTGTTTCAGGCCTGTTTTCGATGAGGCAACATTATAACACTGCTTAAAGATCACAGGTAATAAAACTGTAGTTAATTTCGGACCTTGAAACTCATGATTCACAAGCTGAATCTGTCTTTATATAAATACATTGTTTCCTTGTACTTCTGCGTGTTTTGCCTGAACTCAGCCTGCAGGTGTAAGGACATGTCACTAGGCCTGGAGTTGACGAAAGAAATTCTTGTTGGACTAAAGACAGTAAAACCAAAGGCAAGATACTGATCTGAAGTTAGATACTAATCGCTCTGGTATCAGGCTCATGACGCTGCTGAAGGGGCGGGGTCAGGATGGCCTCGCACTGATTGTGAATTTGACTCTATGTAAATAGAGCTGAAGCTCCACATGAGCTTTACTGTGGTTATTTGGTGTGAGAGTTGGAGGTTTTGCATAAGAGGCAAACAGATCTCTCGACACTCTACACAATTTTGTTTACTTGTTTGAAGTGGTGGAAGAAATACCAAATGAAAAATTTACTAAAGTGAAAGTATTAAAGTACCTTAAATGTACTTAATAGTAAAAAGTATACATATTTCACACAGGTTGAAATCTTATGAGGCCTCACATGTTGTGATTTTGTTCAACAGGAACAATTCAGTCAGCGGTATGTATCAATGTAGCTGCTTTTATTTGTATATTTTTGTTGCTCAAACTACAAGCGTGTTAAAAATAAACCCCCTCGGCCTTTTCAGCGGTCTCAAACTATAATAAAAATACTTTTACTTTTCACTCCTGTTCAAAAATATCATGGAGTAGAAAGTTACAGATACTTGTTCTCAAATGTAATGAAGTAAAAGTAAAAAGTATCCACTTCAGGTGTAAGTATCTATGCTTTAGTACTAGTACTAAGTTACAGTCCACTATATGTTTGGAGTATGGAGAGACCAGAAGAGCCCAGTCCAGACTCCAGAGCCACGTGCACTGTCGACTTTCTCACATCAAACACACCGTTTTTGGTTTGTTTGAGATTTTTGATCCATACCTGCTTAAATGACAGTCTAGTTTCAATACACGTTTTAGGTTCAACTAGTAACTGATGTTCAGTGACAGCCAGAATCAGCACCACAATCTTTGTGCAAAAAAATTCACTGGCCAACATCTCCATCTGCCCTGCCACCATCTCCATCTGCCCTGCCACCATCTCCATCTGCCCTGCCACCATCTCCATCTGCCCTGCCACCATCTCCATCTGCCCTGCCACCATCTCCCAGTGGTTGTTTTCCACCACAGAGGCCCACATTAGACCATCACCTCCGCTGGTGTCTACTGGTCATCCTCTGAGCTTTATAATGAAGCATTACAGACAGTGTCAGTGTCCTGTGTTAAAAGTTTAGGTTTTGCCCATGAATTAGACAGATTTGAGTTAAAAAATAATTACAAACTGAATCCAAAATACTACAGCTAATATTAAAACTACTCAAACTACTCAACTACTAAATACTCATTTGAGCAGCAGTATCAGTACTAAAAAGTCCCACAGTCAGGACACAAATGAGCCTTTCCTGAGTGTCTTTAGAATGAAGCTGCGCTGTATGAGAACAAATGTCAGAGCTCATAGACGAGTACACACACATGGACCAACATGAACCTACTGCACCACTGACCATCACACACATAAAAGCAGTGTTGGGGAGTAACAGAGTACAAGTACCAGAGTTACATAATCAGAGTACAAATTACTAACAGTATTCAGTTACAGTTACTATTTCAGTGACTACCCCCCGGTAATTCCACTCATTGCCAGAAACTAAACCAGGTCTAAACCAGGTCTAAACCAGGTCTAAACCAGGTCTAAACCAGGTCTAAACCAGGTCTAAACAGGACTAAAACAGGTTTAACTGGATTAAACCAGGACTAAACCAGGACTAAACCAGGTCTAATCCAGGTCTAATCCAGGTCTAAACTAGGACTAAACCAGGTCTAAACAGGTCTAAACAGGTCTAAACCAGGTCTAAACAGGTCTAAACAGGTCTAAAACAGGTCTAAACAAGGACTAAACCAGGACTAAACCAGGACTAAACCAGGACTAAACCAGGACTAAACCAGGACTAAACCAGGATTTAACAGGACTAAATCATGCTGTGTGAACTGTGCCTCCTCCTTTTCCATCAATAATATTTTTAATTTGGTTCAGTAAAGTCTGGGCTTTTTTATTTTCTTTTATCAGACAAAACATCTTTTATGATTTCCTCATCTTTGCTTCTCTACAGCAAACCAAGTAATCCAAAGTATTCAGATTACATTACTCACTTTAAATAATTTAATGGATTACATTACAAACTACATTTTGGAGTATGTAATCTGTAATCTGTAGGGGATTACATTTTAAAAGTCACCTTCCCAACACTGCATATAAGACACATGGGAATAGAAGAGAAAGTACCATTTAATGCTGAAAGTCACATGTCTGTTGTCTTTGCATACACAGGAAATTATTCAAAGCTGTTATTACTGGCTGATGTAAAGGTTCACTGTGTAACTTTTCAAGGTCAGAATGTTACACAACATTCAACTTGTCCAACTCTGAGTGGACTTCTCTGGGGGCTCAACTGTAACACACAACACCATCTTTTATCGGTTTGAAAATGTTTTATTCACGTATTACCATTAGCAGTAAGATTCTGTGCAAGGCTCCGCCCACAAGCCAACGTCCCCCATGCTCCCACGCGACAACCTACAAAACCACACGCAGCTACCTGACAGACTTGATGTGACAAGCAGGATTTCGTTAGCAGGATGCAAGCTGATCCCGTTGAGATAGTGCGTAAAAACAAAAGTGAAACTTACTAATGCAAATACAACACTTTTAAAGCATCTACAGCAGTGCTTCTCAAATAGTCCCCTGGGCGGGCGCGAGGCTCCGTCAAGGGAGGCGCGTTTGACCCTGGGGAACATGCTTTTTTATTTTTTTATTTTGATTTTTTTTTACTGTCCTAGAATAAAGTGCAATTGCACTTCCACTACATTAGGGGGCAGTGGCGCTCTCATTGGCAGAGTGTGCGCAGGGACATGGCGCAGGGAGCATTCGCTCGGTGGTGTAGGAGTTTTGTTTGCACTGAGCATGCGCGCTTTGCACACAGCACAGAGTTTGAGTATGAAGTG